TGATGTCTTGTCCATTCATATAACTTGATAACATCGTCGTAAGTAGGTAGAACATTGTATTTTAACTCACAAATAACACCCAAAACAGGACATTTAAACACACTCCGAGTTCTCGGCATGTTTTAAAAGAATAACAATAATTAAATATGGCCGGCACGTGATCGTTGCGAGCGAAAACAAAAGCGCAGGCGCACTGAGGTCGTGGCACAGTATTGCCAAATCTCTGATTCTCCTTCGACTTGAATTGAATTTCAATGACATTGCGGAAGCAGTTACCGTAAACGAAATCAAAAAATATTTTATATGGTTCAATTTGATCCTAAAACGCACCATATTTTTGCTATTAGATTGCCATATAACGAAAACAAATTTTTCGCTCCACCCTAATGTACACAATCATAGGAAGCTGCGTAGCTCACGTTTGTCCTTCGGAACTGGTCATTCTTTTACAGGCTGGATTTTCTCCTTGTCGACCGCGACTTCCTGACTGGAAACAACATGGCCAAGATACTTCACAGCTCTTTGAAATAGATGGAATTCCTTTGGGCTTAATTTCAAGCCCGAACCTCGTATCCTCAAGAAAACTTTCTCTAGGTTCTTCATGTGGTCCCCAAATGATTTTCCCATCAGGATAATGTCATAAAGGTAAACCAGGGACGTTTTCCAGGATAGTCATCTTAGAATCATGTCCATCAGCCTTTCAAAGGTGGCAGGAGCATGGCACAGGCCGAATGGCATCACATTAAACTGCCATAATCCCGTGCCCACCGTGAATGATGTCTTCTCCCGATCTTCAGGGGCTAATTCTACTTGCCAGTATCCGCTTTTTAGCTCTAGGGTGGAAAACATTTTTGATCCAACCAGGGTATCCAGAGTGTTATCAATACGCGGTAGAGGGTAGCTGTCCTTCTTGGTCACTTCGTTTAACATTCGGTAGTCCACACAAAATCTGGCTGAACCATCTTTCTTTTTAACCAAAACTACCGGTGAGGCCCATGGACTGTTGGACGGTTCACTGATTCATTCATTGGCCATACTGTCAGCGATCTTGTCAGCCTCCTCTTTTTTAGCAAGTGGGAGCCTTTGTGCCATCTGCCGGATGGGACGAGCATTTTCCGTATTGATCTTGTGCTGGACTATATTGGTTCTTCCTTTCTGACCAGTATCGAATACAATCCGATATCTATGTATTAGATGTTTCAGTTTCTTTCTTTGGTCTGGTCTTAGATCTCTGCCTGTAGACGATATTAGTGCTTCCAGTTCCTTAGGAATGACCCCTGTTTTCCACAGCTGGCATATTTCGAATGATTGCAGAAACTGAACAGCAGTGTCCCAGCTCCGAGACCTTCTTCAATGACACAGGGTAGAGACTGACACTCATTAGTCTCACAGGAATAGTTTTATTCGCACGCAAAAGGGCCTTTGCAATCCTAGGTTCAAACATTTCTCCGTCTGTAGTCTGGCATTCTACCAAGCCATTCAATACAACTTCGCTTCCTTCTGGGATCACGGTGTCTTCACGTAATAGAATTCGTACGTTTCCATTCCTTTCCCGATGTAAACTGACCTCCTCATTGTTGACTATCACGCTTCCTTGTTTAAAGTTCAACTCGAAGCCCTTTGTGTCCATGATGTCCATTCCTATGATTACCTCATCCTCAATATCAGCTACTATCGCCGGATGTTCGAATGTAGCTTTTCCTATTCCAAATGCGATGTTTACTTCACCGTACACGTTTGCTCGGTCTCACGTCGTCATTCGTAGTCGCCATTTGTATGGTCAAATCTTCGGCGATGCTTTCACCATGGTAGTCTTTGTCGCACCTGTAACCAGCTGTACAGTGTGGAAAGTTCCATCCACAAAAGCATCGACAAAAACACTATTAGACTGATGTTTAAGCGAGGAGACTTGGACGGTATTAACTGATGGGGCTGGTTGGCTACAGGTCGACGTTAGTCGCTTCACATTGACCTCCCTTAGTTTTCCAAATTGGCCGGATGAGGACTATTGCCTTCAGGACAGCATCTCCTAACGTGCCCCATTTTTCCATATTTCCAACATCGCAACTTGCTGTTCTGGCGGCGCCGTTCACCATCAAGTTCCTTAACAATACACTTGACGGACTCTTCGAACTCGTTATCTCCTGGTACCATCTGGCGGACTCGGACCTGGCTTTTATTTGTGTTTTTAGCTGCTTCGAATTCTAAGGCCCGAGTTAGCGCATCTACTAGCTTGTCTTATATCACCATCACGAAGCCCATCCAGGAATGCTTGAGCTACCAATCACTCCATTATCCTTCCCTGGACATCGGGATATGCTAATCGTACCAACCGCCCAATATCCGCTTCGAACTCCTGCAAGGACTTCTGGAACCGATTCTTTAGTTGAGCATGGTAGACATGATCTAAATGTGACTGGCCGTATCGCATCTCCAAATGTCCTACTAGCTGTTCGTAGACCTCTTGCTCTTCGGGTGATATTCTTTGAAGAATAGCTGCAGCATCTCCTCGCAGGGCCAAGGCGTTGTACCATCAAATTGCGGCGGTTCCATTCGCAGATGACAGCTGACCCAACAGAAGCTCCCACCTCACTTGATTTTTCCAACGCTGTCGCTCGTCGATGGTCTTGATGTCTAAAGCGGCAAACTTGCCTTGCACTTCTTGAATTCTGTCCTCCAAAGTTTCTAAAATCTGTTTTTCCAACTCGCAAGCTTTTTCCATAATTTTATCTTCCAATTGTTTTTTTTAAATTGGCGGTATTTTCCAAAAACATCACTTCTAATTTGGCTGTACTTTCGTGTAACTCAAGTTTTCCTTCTAGATTGGCACAATTTTCCACGAGATTGTTTTCTAATTTGGTCGAGTTTTCCAAAAAAAATCGGAAAAATTGTCCATGAGCTTGTTTTCTAACTTGGTCGAAATGTTTTGCAGCATTGAACCAATATCCCCTGCACTGGTAAAAATGAAATTATCCGGGTCCTCGCCTTCCTCAATCAATGATTTACAAAGCCGTTCTTGTAACTCCGCTTTTTTAAAGCCGTGTCGCACTCTTTCCTCTAGCTCTCTTTTTCAATTGACAATTCTCAAGTCAATCGCGCCATTCTGCCTTCACTGATCGTCCGATTTATTTTCACTGAATGTCCAATAATCCACACCCCACACCTGATACCAATGTAGCGTTTTTCTGGGATCTTTTGGGTGTGAATTAAAACACTCGATTCCACAAAAAGAAATGCACTAATTTATTCACAACACAACCAACTTTAACTTAAATAGATAGAACATGTACACCACTATTTATGTCTGGCTATTTATTTACGAATCAAATTGGCCGCTATTCACTTTTCTCTCTCCCAGCCTTCGGCTTATATATTCCGCATCGCAGGTACTCGTTAATTCGAGAAAGTTTCTGTTAGCCACATAACGGCCACTCCAGAACCTTCGGGGTCAGTCTCGCACCTTGCTTTGATACCGAAGGAGAGTCCCTAGAGAGGTTGTCAACAGATGGCGCTAGTAGTACATTCATTCTTGTTACAATATAATTACCAGCGGTAAAAACTCGGTATTTAATGAATTATTCATATTTCAAAGCCAACTGAGCTAAAATATGAGGTATAATTGAAGTCTGACTTTTTTCATATATCAAGCGACACTTAAGACCCCTATCGGTTATAATAAGCGTAAAAATAAACTTCCAAGTAAAATATATTGAAATCGTTTCATATTGATACATTTTACATAACTATTCAAACCTTGATTTTTTTCTTTTTATCCAGTAGTACTTGAAAATTGTAATTTAAGCATATTTTGTTTATCTCCATAACGAATAAAGATAGTGATCTGCGATTTTTTTTTTATATTCCAACTACCACGAAGGTCTAGTGCCTAAGCACCCATAGGGTACCGTGGGGCTATAGGGGATACATGGGAAAGGGGGGGGGACGCCACACGGACTCTGGCGAGGGAACACGTGTGCATGCAACATGCACACATTCTGGCTCCGCCTACGAGAACCGCCGGGTGGTACCTCCGCGTTCGACAGTCAGAGACCATCTACCACCTACGGACAATCACAACATCCATAGCCAAGAGACAAATTTCTCCTGGGACGGGACTCGAACCCGCACAGCGCACGGCGACTGATCAGGAGACCGAAGAGTCTACTACTGCGGCCACCGCTGCTGCTGCCATTCTATAGAATTTGTATGCTCTGTCTGAGTAATATTAGAAAAGTATACCGTCGTATTTGAAATTTCCGATATAATTCAAGAAAAAAATATTGACACATCCATACGACGCTATCTAGGGGCCACAAAATGAACTAATTTGACAAGATTGAACCTTGAGTAGGAGCGCAGGCGCAAGCTCATTTGAATGAAAGCAAGGTCGTGAAAATCGGTTAGCCAAACAAGTTATATTACTTTTTCTGAAATGTCATTTAAACGAAACAAATTATGTAAGAATGACATTTAAAAAAGTTAGAAAATGCGCAATCAACCTAATAGAGTTAGCGGCTGTTAGGTTACGATGTTGAAGCAGGGACCAGTCTCTTCGGGCCCTGATCAGGAATTGTGCTATGGGTGGAAGTCTTGCTCAGCCTCGAGCGAGTGCCGGTCCGTTCGCGCAACCCGGGACCACTCAAGCGATGGCCGGGCCTCAGGGAACACATCTCAGGGTACACCTATTCCTAGCGATATCTTCCGCCCCTTGCTACACGAAGCGCTGGTTATTACATTCATGGTCCCTAAAGATTATTATACACAAAGTTCCAGATGATTTATGGAGATTATTTTTCGTTTTGTACATATTTACCCTTGAGATATCATATATTTTCAGAAGACCTATTGTGGCCCTACTCAAAATCATTAAGACCATCCTAAAGATCAGATATCATCAGATGGCCAAACTTTATCACAACTCATATCTCTCAAACTTCTTTTAAGGGGTACCCATACATACTTTTGATAAAATACATCATAAAAATGCACTGAAATTTTACCTTGAACTTCTGCGAGTTCTGAGGCTTTGTATTCTGTCTGATGGTATCTGCAAAAATAGCCGCCTTGTGATTGGAGACGTAATTCTGGAATGCAACCAATGTATGGTCTTTATGCTTATCTTCTTCGCTTGACCCGTTTTGATCGTCTGTAAATTTAAGAAAAAAATGCTATAGCTGCGGGAAAGTAATAGTAGTGGAGGAGAGGCGAAGCCTGGCAACAAGTCCATCTTTGACCCTTTCTACCGACCCCGTTGTACCAACACTTTACTACTCGACATGCTTACCTACTGGTAACCGATTACTGAATGAACCAGCTCTAGCAACGCGATTTTCCTTTTTGATCTTGCATCGATTTGGTGCTTACATATACAGGGTGTCCGCAAAGTTGGGGTTTTCCTTTTCAGAAACAACTACCCTTGAAATAACAAAGGTAATGTGTAGTGAAACGAGGGCGACCAAGTAAAAAAAAAATAAAGGAAAAAGTACTCACTCTCCACTCTCTGCCCGAAATCATACCGCTCCAACAGAAAATGAAATCAGCTGAAGCGCTACCGAGCAGACGCAGAAACCACATTGATTGTCTTACACTTAATGGCACATCTTCTAACAAGGAAGGCAAAATGTTGCATGAAAAGTCTAGGTATTGCATCCCGTCCAATCGATTTGGGAGAATAAATGGTCCAATGAGCATACCGTTCACCATGCCAGCCCAAACATTCACCGAAAATGTTTGTTGAAAATGACCAAACATGAGTGTTGCGGAAGTTTTTCACCCCATTACGCGTGAACGTAGATTCGTCTGTCACCAATATGCACTTCAAAAAGTCCGGATTATTGTCATGTTGATGCAACAACCACTCACAAAACCGCACTCTTGCTGGAAAATCGCCAGGTTGAAGGGCTTGTACACGTTGGACGTGAAACGGATACAGCCCCTCTTCACGCAGCGTTTGCCACACTTTAGTTTTTGATACTTGCACTTCTCTAGCCACGTCTCTAGTGCTTGTTGTTTTCTGAAACGCAATCGATTATACGAGTTCGTTTACCTCTACACGCGTGACCGTAACCGTCGGTTGAAGGTTGCATACTAACCTGACACACTGACCCCGACCCAGTACTGCCGTCGGGTTGAGACCTTGTAACAGTCGGGGATATCGCGGCGGGTCGCGGCTACAGGTCGGTATTCAGATATTTTTAATGTTGCAGAGCCCTTTATCTCGGTTCCCTTAAGACATTGGTGTATATGGTACTAAGAAAAATTGCTTATGTTTTCAAGATGTACACGTCGTGTAAAGGAAAACCCCAACTTTGCGGACACCCTGTATAGATAAACACAACATCCATGGCTCGTAATGTAACTTTAGAGACCGAGATTCGAACACGCGAACCTTTGAGCTGGTCTGCCAGCAGCTCGACGCTCTAGCACGTCCGGCTACCCAGCCCCCCACAGCTTGAGGAAAAGAATCGCTTAAGATTCCGCTACTTTCCCATTAAGAAAGCCGAGCGAATAGGGAACTTGCACTCGAAATATTATAATTCAGAAATTTGTTTTTTAATGTTTCGATACAATAATAATAAACCATCTTTTATTTTCAAAGAAAATTCAGTATATATACACGGTGGTCCATCCATGTGTGGACGGAATATTACTCATAAACAAATACATTTTGGGAAAACTCTACTTATGGGATGTTATACATGTCATTGAGGGCACATTTCTAAAATATTGGTCATTATACAGGGTGTCCTAATTTCGACCTAAATATCAAAGTTGTGATTTTTCAGATGGAATGCTTCAAATTTCATTGCATATTTGGATAAACCAATTCAAAAGAAGAAGATTGATATTGAATACTATGGGGTTTTTGTAATTAGCTACTGAGATGTAAGGTGTTTTGTCCAGAAAAACCGTCCACTTCGTCAACCCCTCAATCCACCAGTTGTCACAAAGCTAATTTTGACAGTTTGTAACTAATCAACAATTTATTTGTTTCTAAGGATGATGCGATATTTTAGGGAATTAAGCCGTTGCATAAAAGACGTGCTAATAACCGAAAAAATAGCCGTAAGAACCCTTATATATCTAGCATAAAAAAGCTTATAAGAAATTGAGTCCAAACTTGCACAAATATACAGGGTGATGCATTCGGGGTTGCCGAAGTGGGGGGTTTTTCAAGAAAAAACACCTTATATCTCAGTAGCTAATTATCAAAACCCCAGAGTACATATATCAATTTTCTTCTTTTGAATTGGTTTATCCAAATATGCAATAAAATTTAAGGCATCCAATTGAACAATCACAATTTTGATATGTAGGCCGAAATTGGGACACCCTGTATAATGGCCAATATTTTAGGAACGTGCCCTCAAATGTCATGTATAACATCCCATAAATAGATTTGCCCAAAATGTATTTGTTTATGAGTAATATTCCGTCCACACACGGATGGGCCACCCTATATATATATATAACAAAAATAGGAAAATAATGGGCAAAATCTGCAAATCTGTATATATATATATATAGAGTGTTTAATGTTAAGTAGTGGATCAACGTAAGTCAGGTGATAGATGGCCTCAAAACCTACCGAATGAATTCCTATCTGTGCGGTCCGAAATTTTATAGTTCAGGAGATATTTGCATTTTCGTTAAATTTCGAAAAAACGGGATAATGAACTTTCAATCGCAATTACAACTAAACCATTAGGTTTAGGGCTGTGATTTTTTTTTAGATGAGCTAATTGGTTAGTTTTAGCAATGGTTGTCACTTTTTAACAGAGCTTATTAGAAATCAACGCAAGAAATCTTGAATTCATTTTTTTTTAAATCTATTCCATCCCTCAACTTTGAAGGGCGGTAAAAAATTGAGCTTGTATTTCATTATTTATTTTATTGTGAAAACTATTTCAATTCATGTAGAATAAACACACAATTTCAGCTTGCTATGATAAGTGCCTCACCGTAAAACATCTGTATGTTTGACACAGGTGGGTATCTATACCTGTAAACAAGAAATTCTATTTTACGAGCTACAATCCAAACGACTTGATGGATTTTGACATATGAGGTACTGTTGGATTCGTCCTAACAGTGCGAGTGATACAGTGTATCAACACTTCGTAAAATCAAAATGGTGGATTTTTTACGCAAATGCCAAATTAGCTTAATGAATTCACCTGGCATTCCAGATGCGGGAGTTCAATCTTCGGTCCGACCGAAATTACTAAGCCAGGTAATGGTCCAGCGCGGAATTTGAATCTAACGTTTGGCATCCGAGTAGAATAATGTCATATTTTCCGCGAGACTATGCAGAAATGCATTACTATTATGGTGCTGCCCTAGTAAATGCTCGAGCAGCTGCTCGCATGTGTCGGGAGTATGTGGTTAGAAGATGTGGACCACAACCGGCGGTATATCCCGACTACCGCGTTTTTCTACGCGTCCATAATGCGTATATGGAGAGCCGCATACTAGGCACCCATCGTCAGCTAAGAGCGCCGAGGATACGCCCAGAAGAAATAGAAGATATAATATTGACAGCCAAAAGGAAAATCTCTTATTGATCAATTCATAAAGCAGCCCTACATGTCACACCTTATCGAAAGCCTTTGAAACATTCAAAAAAAGAACTTCGCTATTTTGATTTTGAGTGAATCCAGAGGTTATCGTCTCCACAAGTCTCATTTCCTGTTGCTCCGTACTGTGCTCAGCGCAAAATCCAAATTGCACGTCGGGAATTGCTTGGAGTTCAAAACAGTAATTCTCTAGATCAGTATGAATAACTTTTCGGCCAATTTAGACGTAGAAGACAATAGACCTGTGGGGCGATAGTCCCGCCTTTTTCGGTTCATCACAACTTCAGCGATTTTCCAGTCTCTTGGAAAATATTGGATCCTACGCATAGCATTAATTATTGTTAGGAGATATGTCAAAGCCCTTGGAGACAATAGTTTCAGTGCCTTGTTGGTGATTTGATCCCCTCTAGGTACTTTGCGTACCTTAAGGTCTTTGATATGACCGTGAAGTTCCGCAGCAGTGCAATGCGGAACTTCTAGGAGGGGTTCTGCGCTGCTACTTGTGCCAGCGTTGGCTCTGAAAGATCTCCTAATGAATCTTTGAATTTGTTCTTTTTCATCAAGGTCGTTATCCAAGTCGTAATTAGGAGAGAACTGTCTCTCCATGCTGTCTGCAAAAACTTCCGCTGTCTCCTTGCTGGTAAAAACCATGCCACCATGACCGTGGATTGGTGGCAGTTGTTCCCTCTAACCATTACTTAGGGACCTTGCAACGCGCCAAAGAGGGATGGAGTTGTTTACCATCCCTTCGAGGAAGTTATTCCATTCTTCATTTCGGTATTCAAATAAAGCGTCCCTAACGGAATGGACAAGATTCTAATGTCTTCAAGGCGACGAATGCATTTAGCGATCTTAATGGCTGATCTTTTATCCCTGATCTTTTGGCGAATATCAGCAGGGAGAAAAGGAGTATCAGGGGACCTCATTCTTTGTTAGCTGCTCTTGTAAGCGTATCTTGCATGAACCTCGTTCACTCCGACTAGAATCTAGTTCGCTCTCTGTACTTATAACCGGAATATTGGGAAAGGTCGTAAGTATAGACTCAGTTTCCAATCAATACGCTTTGACCGAGGAGATTCTGCATTGTTTTGTTCGGTTCCTACCTCCAAGATGACTGGAAGTTGGTCACTCAGAATATCATACAGGACTCGAGAAGTAATACTAAAGTTGCAATTTCTGGATATAGCAAAATCAAACACGTCTGGTGTTAACAGACTGTTATATGGATGGTGTGTCGACTCCTCCGTGGAGTGTATGGGGCATCCATGTTGCATGACGTAATTTTACAAGTAAACACCGCTAGATTTGTTGAGCCTTACATTCCATGATCAGTATTTGGAGTCCCGCAGCAATTAACGGACCCGAGCACTCCAGCAGAACTTCCAAGTCTGCCTCTTGAAGCCGAAGCCCACATACACCGATGTGAGCTTTAGAGGAATTCCCGTCGCCATATTGACCATGACAAAAGCTGCCTCAATGCTCTGCAACTCGACATTGGTGCTTCTAAGGTAGTCAATACCGCGCTGCACAAGTACGGCCAAGCCGCCACCCCTCCCATTCAACCTGTCTG